ATGCATGCTAAAAGATTAGTGGTAGATTGTGGCTTCAATTCACATTTCACTTGCATTTTAGGAGAAGATTGACACTCCAACTTCAAAAGAATGGCCCTCTCACAACAGGGCCTAGACTCAGAGTGAAAACATTGGCTCAAAAAGTAGACGGGGAACCAGGAACCAGATTACTTAGGGTTCCAAAGAGAGGCTAAGGAATTCGGACTTCATCCAATAGCAACAGGGAACCATTGATGATTTTTGAGCTGTATCTGAGTTGTATCTTCAAGAGATCATTCAGGCAGCTTTTTGAAGACGAGATTAAAGTGGGAAGAAAGCAGAGGCAGGCAGGAGAGTGAATCCAGGATCTAGGTGAGAGAGACCAAGAAGAGTGGCCTTAGGGGTGAAAAGGAAGTGACTGATCTGAGAGGTTTCAGAAGGATCAACAGGACTTGGGTCCCAGTGAGTCTTGGGATGAGAGAGAGGAAAGAGTTGGGATTGACACATTTCTAACTTGTAAGGTCGATGCACAGTATCGACCTTATTTTACAGGCATATAACATTATGCCTGTAGCTAATGTATGAAACGCATGCTCTTCCATTCTTCCCAGCTCATTATGCTGCAGCCATATCCAATCCAAATCCAAATTGCTCCTGCCTCAGGAGTTTTGCACTTGTGGGAAGTGTATGAGGAGAGGGAGAGAGAGAGAGAGAGAGAGAGAGAGAGAGAGATGTGATCCAGGAAAAAACATGGGGTGAAGAAGTATCTATGGAACTTTCTGTCCCTATCACCATATTTCCTTTAGCAAAAGATTTAAAAGGTGTGGGGGCATTGTTAAACTGACAATATTAAGCAAAGGATAATTTATTAGATGAGAGAAAATATCAGTGAGTTATCAGTATCAGTGTCTCTGACTTTTGGGGCACCAGATGAAGCAACCTTGCACAAAGACTTGAGGGTAGGGCCCTGTGAGGGGCCTGATTCCTCATTGGTCCTCGGCGTAATCACAGTTTTGACCCAGAAATGTTTCAAAAAGTAAATACATTGATAAAAGAAAAGCATGAAAAGACCTGCAGAAACAAGTCATATTCTGAGCTATCATGGAACAGTGGAAATCACATGATTGCAAGATGAGACAGCAGCTTCTTTTGTGAGCAACTTATAGATTACTAAGTGACGGTTGTAGAAGATCAGTTGAATTCTGCCAAAAGGCAGACATGGAATAAAGTTTCATTTCATTTTCTGGAGGGACCAAAATTGCTTTGCGTAAGTGATGGTGGAATGATGTAGAATGTGACAAAATAGTCTTCAAATAGTATTATTTTTCCTAGGTGAATGAAGATGCTAATTGCTAGTCTAGAATGACCCTGTCCCCTCCAAAAATCTGCAGCAGTTAAATTTATTTTACTTATTTGGGATTGAGAGAAGAATTCATGCAAAATAAATTTTTGACTGTGTTCACACCAAATCCAAGGAAGAATACCAAATAAAAACTGATTGCTATCTTGTCAAAACTCTGTCTCATACCTATAAAACATCTCACATCCCATCTACAAAATTAACTACAAGTACATCTTTCTACATCTCTTCTCTATGGCTTTCATGCAATTAACACAGAACAATAAATCAGGCATGGCATGATTTAGCCTAGGAAATAATTTAGATATCTAAAAAATGTGTAGAGTTATAAATTGCTATTATTTATGTTAATTTTTTGTACATACAAAGTACTTTAATTTAGGACCAAAATTTGGAAATTACTTGTAAAAGTGTAGAAAATAATAGTGACTAATGTATTGTGAAAACTGGAGCATATGGAACCAATTTTATATGGTAATGTAAATGTTGTATGAACTACTGAAATAGGAGCTATTAAATTGTTTTAATTGAGTCTTTGGGGTAAAAGTTTAGAATTTGGTTGAAGTTTCTGGCATTGGTAATTAGTTGTTTATAGGAGGACAGATGCAATTCTAGGATAATTGACTGTCTTTTCATCTTAAGAACTCGAAATAATGGGCACTTAATACCAAATCTACCTTGGATAAAAGATAAGTTAGGACACCAGGACTCATGAACACACAGAATTTAAGAAAATTTTGGATGAAACATTAACATTACACATTGATTTATTTATATTGTCCCTTTCATTGCTTTTTTTAATTTCTCAAAAATATAATATATTATTGGCCAGGTGCAGTAGATCACACCTGTAATCCGAGCAATTTGGGAGGCCGAGGAGGGTGGATCACCTGAGGTCAGGAGTTCTTGAGACCAGCCTGGCCAACATGGTGAAACGTTGTCTCTACTAAAAATACAAAAATTAGCTGGAGTAGTGGTGGGTGCCTGTAATCCCAGCTACTTGGAAGGCTGAGGCAAGAGAATCTCTTGAATCTGGGAGGCAGAGGTTGCAGTGAGCTAAGAGTGTGCCACTGCACTCCAACCTGGGTGACAGAGCGAGACCCTACATCAGAGAAAAAAAAAGAATATAATATATTATTAACTAGAGTCACCATGCTTTATGATAGATCTCTTGAGCTTTTTCTCCTGTCTAACTGAAACTTTTATATTCTTTGACCAACATCTCTCTGACACTAGTTCCCAGTCCTCACCCACCCACTCCACCCACTCCTCTGGGACCACCATGCTACTCTCTATTTCCATGAGATCAACTTCTTTAGAGTCCACATAGCCGTGAAATCATATAGTATTTGTCTTTTGGTGCCTGACTTATTTCACTTTGCAAGATTTCCCACGTCTGGGGAAGGAAATAGAAATCCAGATCTAGAAAGGACAAAGAGCATCAAATAAGATGAATCCAAAGAACCCCATAAGGAGATACATTGTAATCAAATTGCTGACAGTTAAAGACAAAATGAGACTTAACTGTTTAAGCTCCTGCCCAATATTACATTGGGGATCTGGAGTTTAAAAGAAGTCTAATTTCAAAAGTATATTCTCTTTTTGTCTTAACTTTGTGCTTTCTGGATCTGGATTTCAATTTCCTTCCCCAGACTTGAAAAATCTTCAGCCATTATGTCTTTGAATAGGGTCTTTGTTCCTGTCTCTCTCTCTTCCTTTTGAGACTCTGATAATGAATATATTGTTTCAGTGACTGTGTCCCACAAATTTCTTAAGTTATCTTCACTCTTTAAATCATTATTATTATTATTTGGTTCCTCAGATTGGATAACTTCCAATTACTTGTCTTTGAGTTTACTGTTTCTTTTTCCTGCTGACTCTAGTCCGCTGTTGAACTCTTCTGTTGAATTTTTCAGTTTAATTATTGCATTCTTTAGCTCTGATTTGTTTGACACTTTTTAGCGGTTTCTATAACTTTGTTAAAATTCTCAGTTTGTTCATGCATTGCTCTACTGACTTTGCTGAGCATCTTTATTATCGTTCTTTTAAATTTTCTGTTGGGTAAATCATATATCTCCATTCATTAGGGTCTGGTTTCTTGTCCATTTATTTGGAAGTATTTTCCTGTTTATTCATTTTCCTTGACTCTCTGTTAGTTTTTGTACATGAAACACAGTTTCGTCTCCCAGTTTTGTCAGACTAGCCTCACATAGAAGATGGACCTCATCAATCAGTTCAGTCAGAGATTCTAGGTGCCTCTCAAACCTTCATGCTTATCCAAACCCCTTTCTTCATTCTTAGTGGCCCCCAGAAGATTTAGGTGTGCCAAATCCTATCAGTTTCCCAAGGCAGATGAGATAAAAGCCAGTACTTTGAGATGCAGTTGGAGAAGTTAAATGTTAGATATATATTCCAGTTCTTTCTATACTCAGGAAGAAACTGAGAGCTGGAGTTCATCTCCCACTTACTGCATTAAGCTGGGGAGAGAATCTGTGACGAATGCCTGTGCTGTCATTCAAACCACACCCTCTGATACTAGGGGTATAGCCACTGCACGTGTGCCCACTGAAAAACCACCTCTTTGTTCTTTGCAGTCTAGGAAGTTTCAGGAATGCAGAGTCCCACCAACTCCCAGAGCTCAGTGATTAAAAAGGCATTTCCTGAGATGGGAGCTGTAAAAGTTGGTGCACTTGATGCATGCACAAACTTCTTACAGGGGGAATATGCAGACCTGGATTTATCTCTGAAATGAGCCAGAGAAGAAGATGCAGGAAGTGCCGACACTCCCATTCAAGATCCCAGAGGTCTATTGTTTATCTGCCCCATCAGCTCCCAGATGCAGACTAGTTAGAGGTCCAACCCTCAGGCAGCAACTGGAAAAGTGTGCCAACTCCTTTCAGGGAGAAACTAAGAACTGGGCATTTTAGTCTATTCTCTGCACTGAGCCCAGGGAATATAGCTACTGGAAGTGCTCACATGTCCATTAAAATCATCTCTTTGTTCTCTATGATCCACGGAGACTCACAAATCCAGAGCCCTGTCAATTCTCAGAGCTAGGTATTTAAAAAGCCAGTCCCTTGGGTTAGGGCTGTAAAGTTGGGGTAGCATTTATGTGTTCCAAATACTTCAATCCTTAGTAAGAACCTGGGAATTGGGGATTCCTTCCCAATTGTAAGATGTGGTATCTGAGGTGGGGTTTGTACCTAAGTGTGCCTCAGTGTTTCCTATCCATTTTGATGCAGATATTTTCTTAGTTACCTTGTGAGTAGGAGTCTCTCAACCAGTTTCTGGCTCTCTCTCAGAGAAAATTTAACTGCATGCAGTCATTTATTTGGTGCATACAAGAGAGAAAGGAAAGCCAGGAGCCTCCTATTCTGCCATCTCACTGACATCACTCCCAGCAGTGTGATTTGAAAAACATTAAGGACCCTGCCTGCCCCACTACATCCTGCCTACCCAACTTCACTTTTCTGCCGTTACCCTTATTCCTATTGCCTGTAACTGGGTAGCAGATGTAGAATCATCTGTTCCAGGATACTCTAGTGATGAGTAACGTGTATCTAATGTTTTTCATTTTACAAAGCGATTTTTTTTCCATCATTATCTCATTTAATCCTCATAGCAATTTCATGGCCTAAGTTCTTTTTTTTTTTTTAAACAGAGAAACAGAAGATCAAACTTAAAGTCACAGCAAGTAGGTGGCAGAGTGAAGAGCAGATCCAGCAGATTCTCTGAACTTCCGGGTGAGCATGCTTTCAGCACCACCACACACCACAATGGAACAGCCTATCAACTTCTTGGAAACTAAATTATAAAGAGAATGACCTTTTATCTTGAGCCATTTATTGTCTGTCACAGGAGACATGAGATATCATCTTTGGGCAAGGTCTTCGCCCCATTTTATAATTTAAGTAAAACTTTAATGCTGATTTTCTCTGCCTCCTAGTGTTAGTCCTGGCTGCTGGGAAAGGAAAGGAAATGCTTTCACACTTTATAGACAACCTTGGCTACAACCACATCATTTGCTCCATTTTTTTCTGCTAAGAAATAGGAAAAAGCAGATGTAAAGACTTCTCTGTTTCTCTTTAAAGGAAGAAGATAATAGTTGTTTTGCACATTTTAATTTAGCATATTTTAAAGGCTTGAGAATTGATTTTTTTTAATTGGAAGATTCATCTTGGATAAAAAATTGATGTGGGTTGAGCTAAGAATACTTTTTTTGAATATCAGGAGGCAAGGGAGAGGCTCTGGAGAGCTGTTTGTAGACCTCCAGCAACCCTCATAGTCTCTTTGAGACCAGCTGGACACTAAGACCTGGGCCCATTCTGGCATCACAAGCACATGGGCCACAGTCAGACTATGTAATGGAGTGGGATGTGGGTGCAGGGTGTCTTTTAACCAGGCCCCCATCTCTACAAAATGAAAGGTCGCATCTGATTTCTCTTAGTCTCCCATTCTCATTTCTTTTTTTTTTTTTTTGAGAGAGGGTCTCGCTTTGTCATCCAGGGTGGAGTGTAGTGGTGTGATCATGGATCACTGAAGCCTCAACTTCATGGCCTCAAGTGATCCTCCCACCTCAGACTCCCAAGTAGCTAGGTCCACATATGTATGCCACTACACTCAGAGAATTTTTTAATTTTTTTGAGAGATGAAGTATCATTATGTTCTTCTCAGTACTTACTTCTTTTTTTTAAAATTTAATTTAATTTAATTTTTTTTCTTTTCTTTTCTTTTTTTTTTTTTTTTTTTTGAGGCAGGGTCTCACTCTGTCTCCCAGACTGGAGTGCAGTGGCATGATCTCTGCTCACAACAACCTCCGTCTCCCAGGCTCAAGCGATTCTCCTGCCTCAGCTTCCTTAGTAGCTGGGATTCAGGCTCGTGCCACCACACCTGGCTAATTTTTTTATTTTTGGTAGAGACGGGGTTTCACCATGTTGGCCAGGCTGGTCTTGGACTCCTGACCTCAAATGATTCACTTGCCTTGGCCTCCCAAAGTGTTGGGATTACAGGCGTGAGCCACCGCGCCTGGCCAGTACTGACTTCTCTGCCTCTTTCCATTGTGTCCCTGAGTCCTTGCTCCCTGGTGAATAACTCGGTATTCACCTCCTTCTTTCACTGAGATCTGGATGCCCATGTGAACTTCCTGAGTGGAGGCTACTCATTCTCTCTTTCCATGCACCATGGGGCTGGAAAGAGTTTGACATTAACCCAGATCCTTTTGAATGTTTCTAGGCATTACACTTTCACCTTGTGAAAATTGCTATTTATTTTGAGTTTGATTATATTTGTTTGTATAACCCACAATATCTTCTATATCACTGCCATTGACTTGCATCCCAGTTACTGTTATTCATTTTTTGAAGACTCTGGCAGCTGATTTGTAATCTTTCTCTGTAAGTCCTGCCATCATCGTAGGAAATTTTGATGACAAGAATTGAAACATCCAATATCCTACTGTCATAATTCTGAAACTTCTTATTTCTGGAGACAATCATCTTGCCTCAATTTAAGTCATATACTCAAGGGCCATTTCCTAAGAGTTGTCCTCTACTCTGGTTTGAATGCACCCCCATACCCCCAAAAAAGCATGTGCTGGAAACTTAATCCCCAATGCCACAGTGTTAAAAGGTGGGGCCTAATGAGAAACGATTAGGCCATGAGGGCTCTGCCCTCGTGAATTGATTAATGCATTCTGCATCAGTGTAGAAGTGGGTTTATTGTCACATGAGTGAGTTCATCATAAAAGGACAAGCTCGGCCCCCTTCTCTCCCTCTCTCTTGCCCTCTCTTTGCTCTACTTTCATGGGATGATGCAGCAAGAAGGCCCTTGTCAAACGTGGCCCCTTGCTTTCCAGCCTCCAGAATGGTAAGCCAATACATTTCTGTTCATTATGAAATTATCTAATCTGGGGTATTGTGTTGTAGCAGCACAAAGTACACCAAGATACCTCTGAAGTCTTCAACTTCCCTCTACCTTCTAGTTTTCTCATGCACGTGCTTCCTCTAGGCATTTGGCATTTTCTCAGCCTTTATTCCTTTCCCTCTTTAGACCCCATGATTGAGCTTTCTTCTCTTCTTAGCAACTCTGAACCTCTATCACTCTCCTTTAGTTCCACATTCAACTCCCCACACCCCACATTACTAGCAGAAGATCGTGTCTCTTACCCCACTGAGAAGATTATGCCTCTGGTATCATATTTCTCAACTTTCAGCAGCCTAACATTTATTGCCTCTTCTTTTCTCAGTCTCAGAGGATGTGTTTCCTTGATGCCACTTTCTTCTCCCACACCCACACTTATTCTCGCAGTCATCACCTCCTTTTTCTTACATAAAACCTTCTCCCCCATGGCATAAAAATAGTAATTTTTCCCATCCTAAAAAAAAAACTTTCAAAATACATAACTGCCTTTATGCCATGTTCATCTCTAACAAGGTAACATCCTATCCATATATTTCAGAAGAGTTGCCTACACTCACTGCCTCCACTTTTTCACCTCCCATACACTCCTCAATTGGCTGCAGTTTAGCTTCTTGTCCCAATCATTTCATTAAAACAGATATCACTAAAATCGATAACAGCTTCTGAAGTGCCAATTTCAATAAGTGTTTTTCAGTTTGTATCTTACTGAATCTCTTTGACATTGTTAATTTCTTTCCCTTCTTGAAACTCTGGATTTCCTTGGCACCTGGGACACTAATTCTTCTGATTCTCATAATATCTCACAATTCTATCTCTGGTCCTTTCCAGGCTTCTTTTCCTCTTACAGATTGGAAGTCTCCAAAGTTGCCAACAGTTTCATGTTCTCCTTAAGCGAGCTGTTCCACCTCCATGACTTCTATTAACACCTATAAGTCACTAACTTGAGAGAATCTCTCTTTCATCCACACCTCTTTCTAAGTTTTAGAATTGGGAGTTTTAGAGTTGGGTATTTGCCTTCTAGACGACTCCAGCTCACCCCTCAAACACAACATGGCCCCAGACTAACTCATTCTCCTGAATTTGGTAATTTATTCTTGCCTAAGCACCAGGTTAAAACTTGGAGGATGCTTTATTCTCAACTTCTGTTTTTCCCTTGTCAGCCATATCATATCAACGGCCAGTCATTCCAAATTAAGTCAAGACTCATCTCTCCCTCTCCTGGATTGTTGTAATGACCTTCACACAAGTATCCCTGCTTTCATTCCTGTTTACTTGCAGTCTATCCTTATAGGATAGTCAGTACAATCTAATAAAATATCAATCTAACCACGCCAAGCTCATTCTTAAAGGATTTAAATAATTGAGTGGTATCTATAGAAAAATGTCTAGACTCTTCACATATAAGGGCTTCTATGATCTAATATCTGTAGATGTCTTTGGCCTCATCTGTCAGTCCTCCCTCTCTTTCTGCTTTGGCAACAAGGAACTGCATGTAGTTCACATTACCCACCACCCCAACCAGATAGGACTGACTACAGATATTTGCTCATGTTCTTCCCCTGCCTAGAATTCATCACCATTTTTCTCTATCTTTTATGTGACCCAATCCCAGTCATTCTTTAAGACTCGGTTTATAAGCCCTCCTCATGTTCCTTAGCTGATATTTGAGCCTTTCCTCAGAGCTTCCATAACATCCTATATATTCCTCTGTCAAATTACTTTACACTGTCTTCTCTGTTTATCTTCCCACCACATTGTATGCTTCTTGATATCTCATTCAACTTTCTATTCCTCTTGCCCTTTCTAGTGCCAGATATCTAGAAGGTGCTTTGGACTTGGAATTATAGTAGAGTTCAAATCCTTTTTCTTCCATGCATTGTTCTATGACATACATAAGTCACCTTACCTGTCTGAGCCATGCTTCCTTATCTATAATTAATCTTTTGTTTTTCAAGAAAAAATGTCAAGATCAAATGAGAAAACATATAAATATTCCTTATAAATTATAAAGTACTATGAAAATATTTTATTATATAGAATATGCAGAAAGATATAGATAAAAACATCTCTCATGAATCCTGTACAAATTTTAACAAAACTTCTTATTTATTAAAAAATCTACATAAGCATTTTTATATCAGTGTGTGCTATAGTTTGAATGTTTGTGTCCCTCCAAAATTTATGTTCCTCTAATATAATACTATTACAAGATGGGGCCTTTTGGGAAGTGATGAAGTCATGAGGGTTCCACCTTCATGAATGAGATGAATGAGAGCTGTCTAGTCTTTTGCTCTTCCACTCTTTCACCATGTGAGGACAACTAATTCTTCAATGCAAAACACCAATAAACATCCACAAGCATTAAGAATATTCAGAAAACATGACCTCACAAAATGAACTGAATAAGACACCAGGGACCAGTCTCAGAGAGACAGAGATATGTGACCTTTCAGACAAATAACTGTTTTGAGGAAACTCAAAGAAATTTAAGATAACACAGAGAAAGAATTTAAAATACTATCAGATAAATTTAACAAAGAGCTCGAAATAAAGAGAATCTGGCAGAAATTCTGGAGTTGAAAAATGCAATTGATAAACTGAAGAATGCATCAGAGTTTCCTAATAGCAGAATTTATTCTGCAGAAGAAAGAATCAGTAAGCTTGAAGACAGGCTATTTGAAAACGTACAGAGGACACAAAAGAAAAAGAATAAAAAAGAATGAAGCATGCTTACAAGATCTAGAATATAGTCTCAAAAGTCTCAAAATCTAAGAGTTGTTGACCTTAAAGAGAAGGCAGAGAGAGAGAGATTGGGGTAGAAAGT